ATCCTCATAGCGACTCTGAGAGGTAGAGCGAGCAACTTGTCCAGGACCACACAGCCCCTATTCGAACCTCTGTTGACTCTGCAGCTCCGACTGTTCCATTCTGTCACAATACCTCCAATGTTGGCTTTGAACCACCTGCCTCTCTCCATCTCCACCATGAGTCCAGCCAAGCCACTGTACAAGTCCCCAACGTGCCCTTCAAGGTCCTGCATGATGTAGTCCTTGTGTGCATCTCCAGCCCAACCTCATATTGTTCTCCCTTGCTTGCTTCCTTCAGGCCACAGTGACAGGCTCTTTGCTGCCTCAGGCCCTTTGCACCTGCTTTGCACCCTTGGCCTGAATGTTGGTTAAACTTCAGCTTAAGTGTTCTTTTCTCAGAGAGACCTTCCTTGGTGTCTTGCGTTTATGTTTCTTCTGTCCAACTTACAGTACTTCCTTCTTGATGCTTATTATCACACTTTGCAGTTCCCATTTACCTGTGTTTTTCATTTGTCTTCCCCACCATCCAGAAAGCTCCGAGGGACCAAATCTGTCTCATTCGGTGCATATCCCTAGCTCCTAGCAAGGTGCCTAGCGCACAGTAGGTACTTTGTCCATGGATTGTTTTGGAGATTACATGAAGTTACACTTGATGCCCTGTCTGGTATATGGCAGGCAGTCAATATGTGTTGGTTTGTTCACTCATTAGAAGGTATTTGAGCATTTATTTGGATCTTGATTTCAATGTGGAGTGAAGGTTTAGAGGGCTTGGACGTATCCATGGTCACTGATATGTACAGCTGCCATCACTTCTGTACTAAACCAAACTCCCAAGGGGAAATGATAATAATGATGATAATAATGATAACAGCTAACACTTGCATACTGCTTACTGTGGGCAAGGACTGTCCCAAGCACTTAACTGATCCTCATAGTGGCCTCGTGAGAAAAGTACTGTTACGATTCCCATTTCACAATGAAGATGTGGAAGGTTAAGTCACTTGCCCAAAGTTCCACAGCTGGTATCAGGGGGGCCGGGATTCAAACCAAGGCAGGCTGACTCCGGGGTCTGTGTTCTGAACCCTTGCCCCAGCTGCCTCAAATGCTGTGCAGAGGGCAGGGTTACTGGGACTAGTTCATGCTGGTTAGGTTATTATTCTAGTCTCACCTCAGAAAACCCTGGATACAAGCCCGGTAATTCCCAAGTACAAAACAGGCTATTTTGTTAGCTAAAGAAGGAGGCAGTGTGGTGGAGAGGAAAGCTGTGAGGATGAAGTGAGATGTGTCCACAATGTCTAGTGTAGAGAATCTGGGAAGATGGGGAGATGCAGCATATAGTTTCTGAAGCTCTCTGGATCCCAACCAAAACACACACACACACAACAACTAGATAAGAAAAATGTTAAAGTCCATAGAAAACATTTACAACTAAAGGTGGCGCTGTATCCCCCACGAACCCTTAAATATAGTTAATGCCCATGTGCATGGTATTGGCATCCAGGCAGGAGAAAGGAGTGGGAGACCCCACAAGAGTCCACAGGTATTCCCTACAAAGTTCAATAGACCAGTTTGGGGACAGCAGCTGAGACTGGGAGGCACTGTGCTCACCCTAGTGGCCAGTGTGTGCAAGGGGCTCATGGAAGAATTAAAGGGATGGAGCAACTTAGTCCCTAGAGATTCTTGAAACTGAGCCACTAGGCTTCCCTTAAGGTCAGGATCTCACACTGTGCAAAAAAAAAAAATTGCTGGAAATGAAGTAGAAAATTGTGTAGGAATGAGACAATAGGGAGTACGGAGCAAGAAGGTCCAGGTAATGTAGAGGAACATCAGAAAGCAAGCTGCCAAAAACAACAGATGAGGGTGCTCTGGGAAGTCAGAAAAGCCACTGTGAGCCATAATTCTTACTTAGATGTCAAGAAAACTAGTTTCACATAAAAATGTTTAATCAAAAACTATCAAGGTTAAATGCCGTACAAAGTTTCTGTAGGAAAACAAACATCATAAAGAATAGAATGACATCCCTTTGGGTATACACCAGAAAGATATGTTCACAGATTAGATCAAAATCATAACCTATATCAAAACAAAATAAAATCACTAAGAAAATGATCAAAAATAGAAGACAAATGTAAGTCAGAATTAGGAAAAAACTCAGGAGCCAAGATTATGCATAAACGTCACGTATGATTTTCTATGAGATAATGTATTTTTCCCCCTTTGAGGAAAATAAAAGAATTAGGAAAAACTGAGAAACGAAGTGTTGGAACTCAGGAAATAATTTAAAATTAAAGCAAAAGACAATTTCAGAAATAAATACTTAAGAGAAGAAGAAGCTGAAGAGAAGAAAAATTTTATAAATTAAAAACAAAATAACAAAAGAGATGGAAAGGCTTGAAGAGAAAGTGACAGATATTGAAGACAGTCAAATGAGACCCACCATACAGGTAACAGAAATCTCTAAAGAACTAACCCAAAAAAAGGGGGGGAATAAACACTAAAAATGATAACTCAAGAAACTTTACAGAAATAATTTTTAAAAAGGATTTGAAATTCCATATTGAAAGGACACACAACATACCTGAACATATCTACTCAGAGCAACCAACACAAAACATGGTCTAGTAAAATTATTGGACTTTAAAGAAAAAAAACAAACTATGGGCATCATACAAAAATGGCAAGTGACTTCTAAGGGAAAACATTATATTATCATCGGACTTTTTCACAGCAAGGTTTATACCAGAAGAAAATGAATGATTAGGTGCTCAAGAAAATGTAACACCAGGATTTTATACCCAGAAAAACTGGCTTTTGTATACAAAGGGCACAAACTATTTTCAACATGCCAAATTATCGACATGCAAACATTAAATATAGTTACTCAGAGAACTAATACTAAATGAGTGTTACAAGAAAAAAAATATATAGTATAACTTGCTATATGCTCAGATAGTATAGATATAGCACATCTATTTAAAATTGATAGGTAGAATGGAGAGAACATAACCCCCAAAAAATTATTAATATAAGTAATTAGAGGTGGTTATTTTAGTATTGTTATTCTGAGACTACTGTGTCAGAATATGGAATAAGTTAAACAAATAATTATGGGATATTCTATCATCTCCTATGTTCTTATGAATCAGGATTCTGGTATGGAAGACAGGGGATTCCTTTGTACTACAGAAGAGATTAAGTAAAAAATGGTGCGGTCCTTGTTTTGAATCGGAAATAATAGTATGCACTCGTGATGTATTTGTCGTCTTTAAAAATGTCCACTGAAGAGGCCTAGAAACAAAGAATGTCCCTGCTATCCAGACTGAGGTCTTGAAATACCATTTCCACTGAAAAACAAAACAAAAGCCAAACCCAAGGCTTCTTGGAGAAATAGCTGGGGCAGTAAAAGTACCAGGTGAGGCCGCACCACCTTGTCAGAGCAGACAGCAAGAGAACTCTCAAAAGCTACTGGGTCCAGGACCAAGGACTCAGGAGCCGACCTGATTTTGCTTCTGGCCAAAGATGGGAAAACTTGAGCTCCAGCAAAGGACAATGATGGCAACGCATTGAAATCCATGAAATAGTTCAAGTCCTTGAGTTCATACTGATATTTTTAAAACCCATTAGTAACCTCTGGATGATGATAGTGAGCTAGTTCGTTATCCTAAAAACTGGTCAATACAAGGGAAGAATCAAACACGGATCTTGCTTTTCCTCTATGAGCCATGTCCCCTGGTAACCAGATAGCATATAAGGGAAAGCATCATTTTACAGAAGTATTCCAAGTAATAAGTGAAAAAGACATGGAAGAATCAGCCTATAAGCAATCCTTGGTGTATCAGTGGGTTTAGGCCTAGAGCATCAACAGCTGCTGACATCACAGAAAGAGAGATGACCAGACACCACATGCCCCCTGATGGAAGACGTGCCACCGACTGTCATCTTGCCAAAGGGACTGGGCCTGCATCTGATCAGGCGTCTGAGCCAGCTGCCAATGTGCGGGAAACGCAGAGGACAGAGGGACACGCTGGACTGCACCGTGTGACTGACTCAGCAAATCCAGATATTGGAAGCTTACAGCTCAAAGGTTTCTGGTTCCTTAGCAGATAAACTGTGGGAAATGAAGACGATGGAGATGAAACCTGCAGATGAAAAAGGACTTAGAAGACATCAAACTTTTTAATGGATGCGTCTAAATGATCATGTCCCGAGATGCACACTTGTGTGATAGAAACAATAAAGAAATCCAGGTAGGCGATTGCTAGGAGACTTTGGATAGGGGTGACTTTGGGGGTACAGGAAGGGGTTGAAATTGGTGTGGGGCACATGAAGGGGCCTCAGGTGGCTGATGAGATCTATATCTTGACTTGAGTGGTGATTATAAAGGCATTTGCTTTATAATACCCAAACCATAGCCTTGCTTTGTGTAGCATTCATTTGCATTTGTGTTTTAAGATAAAGAGGTTTTAAAAATATGTCTAGCGCAATGCATGGAACAAACTGCCTCTTCTCCCTCCTCCCCACCTGTCACATGACACTGTAGATTTGACTTCTTTGCTGGGCACCAGGCAGGGCACTTTATATAAATGCTCCCTCATCTATGACCTGTGCGACCCAACCAGCCAAGTGCTCCACAAGACAGGACTTCCTTGGTGTCCCCAGCGCCTGGCACCTAGCAGGCACTCAAAACATACTTGTTGAGAGAGTGAATGAACGCACGTGTTTTGCTCCTGTAGAAACTGGAGCGCAGTTCGTACATTTGGCAAACAGCCAAGCCTCACTTATGCCCAGCGAAGGCAGATGGAAACTGGGGTGTGTCTCTGGCATTGGGGTCCTGATCCTGTTTGCAGGAAGGGCCCTGAGGCATCCTCACGGAGCAGCCGGGCTGTGGGGGCCACTGCAGTGTTCCGATGGAGCCGACTCAGAGCCAGCCGCTCCCTCCTGGCCACCTCCCTGGACCCTGGTCTCTCTAGGGGTGCTGGTTCCAGCTTTCTCATTTGCTCCTGTGTTCTGGTTCCCCTCAGGCTCCGCCAAGAGAAGACGGACACCGTCCGCTGCATCAAGTCCTGCCGTCCCAACGATGTCACCTGCGTGTTGGACCCCGTGCACACCATCTCCCACACCGTCGTCTCGCTGCCCACCTTCCGAGAGTTCACCCGCCCAGAAGGTGAGGAGCGACTCCCACAGTCTGGAATTGGCATGGGGTCCCAGGGGAGGCCATCGTCTGGGAGAGCTCCCTGTGAGGCGGCTACTCCTGAGTAAGATGTGGATTTGGGGTTTGAAGTGTAGAGCTCCCCCTACCTCTACCCCACATGTCCTCCCTGTTCCCAGACTGCACGGCACCATGCTGCCCACCCCCGGCTCCCAGTTCAGGGGTCTCTTCTTACGGGTAACCATCGTTCAGCAAGTAGTAATTAAGTATTGATTCTGTGCCAATCATTCTGTGCTGGGAAGTCAGGGAGGGCCTCCAGAAAGAAGTGACTTCCATGCTGGGGCCTCGGGGGGCAATAGGAGGTAACCTAGTGAAAGTGGGGAGCAGGGAGAGAGGAGGGAGCCAAGCAGAGCGGAACACGTCTCGGGGTAAGTGGGGAATGTAGGTGTTTGAGGAACTAAACCTGGTTTTTCTGGCTGGAGCAGTAGAGGCTCGGCCAGAGACGAGCTCAAGGATAAATGAGAGCCTGAACTTGGAGTTGGGACTTTAACATCACCCTGGACACCAGAGGATAGACAGCCGGAGGGGCTAGACTGGATCCAGGAGTCAAGGGTTCAGTGTTCCCATGCCCGCCCCTGCCTGCAGGGGGCGCCTGGCCCTGCCCTGTGGAGGGGGGGGGGTCATAGTGCCCATTCACTAGGGCGGGGCCAGGGGCACGGGTGCCGGGCAGATGGCTGTGAATGGGGCGCTGCTCTGTACACCTTGCTTTGGGGGGTGCAGGTGCAGCCCATGTGCCAGGGCTGGTGTGGCCTGCAGCCGCCCCCTTCCTCTGTGCAATCTTCATCCCTGGCCTTCAGGGGAGCTCACCAGGATCGATTCATTCACCAAATGTGGACTGTGCCTCCCCTGTGTCCAGCGCAGGGCACGGCTCTGGGAAACAGGGATAAGAAAGAGGCCTCCGACCCTCTCAGGGAAGACGCACAGTTGAGCCAGCATGACCACACCCTGTGTTCACCCACCGTGACTGGGTCCTGTGGGCGCACGTGCCAGGACCTGTGATTGGTGGCATGGGCACGAGAGGCTCCCCAAGGATGTGGTTGCCTGAAGGAGCAGGTGGCCAGCCCCCCAACCCACTAATTCATTCCTCTTGAAACGGGGAGGTACAGAATCTTTCCAGGGTGGCACTGACTTGGGTCGGAGAAAATCACTGACTGGTGTTTGCCTTGTGCCAAATGACGGGTTCCACCAAACCACATATAAATCCTTCGCGAAACCCTAACGGCTGGTTCTGTGGCCTCTCGGCCAGCGCTGATCTAAGTTGGTTCTACAGGGTGTTGACCGTGGCTAGAGACACCTGTTAGCATCTCAGGCCCAGGAGATCCGGACCTTGACCTTTGGCACTGAAAGGACCCTTAGTGGGCACTGGCGAGCTGCCTCCTTCACTTTGCAGATGAGGAAAATGAGGCCCAGAGAGAGGGTGCTCCCAAGAGGGCCCAGAGCCAGCATAGAAGCAGCTGCCCCACTTCACATCAAGTGGTCTGGGAGGTGGACACAGCCACCAAACTGCCCAGCCCACCCTGAGAAGGGCTTTGTCTGACCCATATCGCCGTGGGCAGACCAGCCTACTCCCTTGCCCTTCCCTTTGTCCCCTCATGCACCCCCCTTCCCTGTCCCCCCAGCTTCATGAAGATTCATGGCTAATTACTAGCTACTGCTCAGTGCTGGCGCTGCCACTGATTAGCTCCAAGACCTCAGGGAAGAGCCTAAATTTCTCCAGGCTTCAGCTACCCCATTGGTAGGGAGGGGAGATAGGCTGTAACCTAGGACCCCTCCAGCTTCTCCATGCAGGGTTCCCTCCTGTTGGGCTCTCATTCCCCGAGGATGCGTTTCTAGGGTCGGGGGCCCAGTGCTGCACCCCTTCCCATGCCGGCCTTCGCTCTCACAGAGATCATCTTTCTGCGAGCCATCACGCCAGCGTATGCCACCAACCAGGCTGACATCATCTTCGACATAACGGAAGGGAACCTGCGGGACTCCTTTGACATCTTGAAGCGCTACATGGAGGGCATGACCGTGGGTGAGTGGCTGAGACGTCCAGGTCTGTCTAGACGCCTTCTTGTCCTCCCAACCTGTTGTGCCCATTGGGCGGGCAAACCTCTCTGGACCAGCCCAGCTCCCTTCGGAGTCCCCTTCCTACATCTGACCCCACTCATCCTTCAGGGCCCGGCTAGAACTCCCAGCGAATCCCAGCATGAGGAGCGCCAGGGTGGTAGAGCCTGCCTGGGACTCGCCCCCGCTGTGCCACTGGCTCCCCAGGCGACTCCTGGGAGCCTAGTCTCCCCACCTGTAAATGGGCGCGTTAGCTAGATCACTGCATCTCACGACCGTGAATTTCAGATGAGATCGCACAGGTGGAGCGCTCGTCTCAGGGCTGGGCTCAGTCCCCCAGTCACTGGGAGCTGATGTGACGGAAGGAATAGCAAAAAGGGGGTCGGGACCTGCACTCTGGTGTCACCTGGGCTTCCCTTGTCCGTGTCGGCTCATTGTCCCCTCCCGCGTGTCAGTCCCTTAGAGGACCGAGGCCACGTCATGGCACATACATGGGCACAGCCCTCTGACCCGGGAGCCCTTTGGAGCCTTCCCTCTGAGGACGCAGTGCCTTGGGCGCACACAGGAGGGGTGGGGCTGGTGAGAGTTGCAGGAGGTGGCGGCTGAGAGGCTTCTCAGGTGAGGGGGGAGGAGGGGAAAAGGGCACTGGCAGAGAGCAGGCGCAGAAAGCCGGGGCGTTTGGGAAACTGGTTCACAGCACCTTCCTGAACTGTCACCGTTTAAAGAATTTAAACTCATGGGGGATGATAATGATCACAGCTGCCATTTTGGACTTCGATTTAGACTCTGAACTTTTTCAAAGCAGCTGAGCGACCGAGGGCCAGGCTCTGTCCTCACCTGGGCCTGTTTCCCCGCTGAGAACGGGGGAGGGGAGGAGTGGCTCAGTGGTCTCCTAGGCCCTGGATTCCGTGAGGTCTTGAACCAGAACCCAAGTCCACCCCGTTGGCCCCCTGAGCGGAGCATTTTGGAACATGGCCTCTAGGTGGCGCTGTTGGATCTTAGAACTCCGGTCGCTGAAGCCCCAAACCCGACCGTTGTTAAACTGGCAGCTGTAGACTGGGAATCGTTATTTCCTTGTTGCCAGAGAGCCATTTATAGCAACTTTACAAGCTCTTAAATGGGTTTGCGTGTTGTAAACATGACTGAGTCATTTGGGGGCTCCCCACCCCCAGCCTCCTCCTCCGCTGGTTGGCAGCAGGAATAATTAGTTAATTACAATTAATGCTACATTAGCCCTCGCTGGGATCTCAAGGGGAGGGCATGCAGTGTGTGGCTGTCAGCAGTCATAAAATGTGCTGTTTGCCCTGGAGTCACTAACCACTCTCGTCTCAGTATCCCCCACTGTTAGATAAAGAGACCCTCCAGGGACCTTCAGGCACTTGGGAATGAGAACAGGCAAGAGGAATTAGGGTCACAACTTGTCCAGCCTACAGTGTGTGCTGGGGCGGAGGGAGGGGCGTGACCAGCCTGACCACAATCGCACCCAGAAACCCACCTCACGCCAGCCCTGTGCTTAATGCTGGGCCTGTAGGTGTAGCTAGGACACGGCCACCCTGGAGCGGTAGAACCGCTTAGAACCTCAGGAGCTGGTATCAGAACCTTCCTGAGCCCTCACCTGTACCAAGCCCTGGGCCAGGCGCTGTGGATACAGAGTTAGGGTGGTACCTGGGCTGCTTTGCATTCCAGCAGGGGAGAGAGACGGCCCGGTACACAGATCATGAAAATAGGACGCTGAAACAAGCGTGTGCAGAGACAGGGACCAGCCTCCGCGGCCTTCCAGAGTGTTCCTGGGGCTGGGTTCCCTGTAATGTTTGCACCTTCAGCTCTCAGCTAAATCCTCCCTTTGGTGACCCAAGCCAAAGGGCCGGGCAGTGGCCGGGCCCAGACCCAGTGCCCACCAGCACATTTTTATAGCTAAATCTACACTCCAAACAGAACGAACTGGGAGGCTCTGTTTTCTGGCTTCCCATCCACTGGGGCAGATAATCCTGGCCTGGCATAGCGACCTTAGGACCACCTCTGCCAACTCCTTTTGTAGAGGGGGAATCTCAGGACCAGAGAGGTGAGGGGGCTGCCAGTGTTCTCACCGTGATCAGGCGGAGTGGGGAACGGAACAGATCCCCTGAGTGTGAGAGGCGACCACAGGTGCCGCCCCCGTTTCCTGGGAATGGAATGTGGACAAGGCCACAGCGACAGAGCAGCTGTCCCTCACTGCGCTTGGTCACACGGCCCTGGTCTGTGGACTTCCGGGCTGGCGCTGCAGGCGGGAGGGCCCAGGCTGGCCCTTGGGAATTCGCCCTGCTCTAGTCCAGCCTCCTGCGTGGGCCTGGCCTCTTCCACTTCTTAGTGTGTTTGCGAGATGCCCCACCTGGCTGGGCTCCTGGAGTTTGCCATGTCCCCAGTGAAGGACCAAGGCCAGAGCGGTCAATGTCTCGCTGAGGTGGCAGCTGGGCCGTGTTTCTGGTTGGGCTCTGGTCTCTATACCCGCCGGTTGCTGCCTTATTTCACTGCCTGGAGTCTCTTCCCTTGGTTTTCTTACCCTCCTTGCCTCCCCTCTTCTGCCCCAAATAACTTCTGTGCACCCCAGGAGCTTCCGGACCTCTGGGGGTAGCCACCCTGCGCTCACTGGCCTTACACATGGGTGTGTGCTGTGACTCCAGGTCCGTCCTCCTGCGATGGACAGCTCTGCCGCTGGACTTGAGCACAGCGTGAGCAGCCTGGGAACCGCCGTGGCCAACCTCGTGTACCCCAGAGTCCCCACTCGGTCCCCACAAATCCCTGTAGAGACAGGTGGGGTTGTCTCCCTTGGGTGAGGGAGGGAACTGAGTAAATGACTTTGGGAGACTGAGCAACTGAAAACCTGCAGGCCTGGGGTATTTGGGAATTTGTTTTTAGGGGTGCAATTCTCATTTCAAACATCTTAGACAGAAACCCTTTACGTCATTGGAGAGGGAAAAGCGTTTTCTGGGGCTGCTCACGCCTCCCATTTGCTGTGCCCTGCAGGGCCTGGCGGGTGGGGAGTGGCTCCCTGCCCACTGAGAGCCAGCATGAAGCCCCAATGCTTCCTACAGCACCTACCTTCTCACAGGTGTTAGCTGAACACCTGCCCGCTCTAGGCCACGCCCTGTGCCAACACTGGGCACCAGGGTCAGGAAGGCTTCCTGGAAGAGGTGAGGTCTGAGCTGAGTCTCAACGCATATAAAGGAGCAATTAACACTTAGTGGGCGCCAGGATGCCAGGAGCAGGCGTTTCATCGCTGCCACAGCCCTGTGACGTGGGGGCGTATCCGCATTACTGGATGAGGGCCAAAGAGGGCAGGAGGCTCCCCTGGGGCCACTCAGTGCTTGGGGGCAGAGTGGGCCTAGAGCCCTGTGTTCCCCGAACACCCAGAGCTGCAGCCCACAGATGGCTGCTGCTTGGGCAAAGTTGCTACGAGTTTGGGTGTCCCAGGAAAATAACTAGTGTACAAGCCACCAGGACCCCAAGGCGGCTGCCTTCCTTCTCCACTAAACCCCTTCCTGCCAATAACAAAAGAAGAAAGTGCCCTGAGTCGACTAAGAACCTAAAAGGGCCAGGCCTTCCCCTAATGTGTCCTCTAAAACCCAGGTCTTAGCGGGGAGAAGGGCAGCTCTGGAGCAGGGCTGGGCCTGCTGCCTGTGCGAAGCCCTGGACAGCCGTCTCGTTGCATTCCTCTTTAACCAGCTTTCAGCGAAAAATGAAGAATGCATTTCAATCTGTGCAAAAGTGCTCTATTAGCGCCCCGGTATTCTCGGGGCACTCCAAAGCCTTCCTCGTCCAGCTCCGATCCTTTCTTCACTCTGCAGGGTACCGGCTGTAATGGGGGTGCTTGGGGAAGGGGGTTTTCAGGTAATAGCTTCTGAGTCCCGGTGTTACCTTTTCAGGGATCCTGGAAATAGACAAATGTAGATTTCATGTAGATTTCATTCAGATGGGAGTGACAGTTTCAGATGCCCCCCTGTCTCTAGAAGCACTCCTCTCTTCCAGTTCTGATTAACTAGTGGAGGTCTGCAAGGAGCTAACGTTGGCGCACTAGCTTTACTCCTTTGTGGCCGAGCTCAGGGTGAACATCAGCCTTGGGGCTATCGGGAGTCGCAGGGCTTAGGGGCGGACAGGCCTGGAGGGCACTGCGGCTACAGTTAACTGGCTCATCCATCCCACAGTGCCTCTGGAGCCCTACTATGTGCTGGGTGAAGAGGATGCAGCCTCTGCCTCTGGGGAGGATGACAGTCCCGAGAGCGACAGGGGGGTGCAGTGAGAGATGCTGTGGGTGCAGAGCCTGGGCCTGCCCCTGCCTGGGCAACTCGAGGCAGGCTACATGGGGGAGATGGCACCTGGGCTGGCTTGCCATTGACCAGGTGAAGAATCAGAGGGTGTCCCAGGACCTCGTGCCTTCCTCAGCGTGGTGGTGTTTTGAACCTCATCTCTTGACCATATAGACTTGAAAAGGGGTCTTTACTTATAAAGCGTGGCCTTGAAGCTTTGAGATGATCATTCCTACAGGAATTGTCAAGTGCCAACCCAAGTCTTGCTCAGTTCCTCAACTTCAGTGCCAGTGCAGGTCAGCAGCTCTCAACTGTAACATCTCAACGTCCTGGGGCTTGGAATATTGTCACACTCGCTTTTCACTGACCCGGGGACCTCCCACCCCAGTGCCAAATGCAGGTTGGGCTTTTAGCTCCCGTGACTGCACGCTACACACACACACACACACACACACACACACACACACACACACACACACCAGCTCTCGCTCTACTCCCTCCCCTGGTTCCCACTGAGTCTTGTCCATCCTGTGCCTTGCTGAGACTCTGTCGCCCCATCACCGAGCCTTCCCGGCAGTCCAAAAAACACTTGGAGCCCCTGTGAGCCAAGCCTGGGGAGGCTGATATTATTGAGAGACACACATCCCATGCCCTTGGGATCGCCCAGCCCCGTGCGGGTGACAGA